CCCCCCCCCCCCCCAAACAAAAAAAAACTCTCTCTCTCTCTCTCTCTCTCATTCTTATTTTAGAAGTTGTTATTAGATTAGTCATGTTTATTGGCAGACCAAGCTAAAGGTAGGCTTGCCAGGCGTTTCTTATTTGCATGTAGTGTGCTCACAATCCTCCTCCCCCCTGACCCTAAATACCAGCCCATCTAACCTCGAACTACTCACCTCAACCACCAAGCCGAAGGAGTCAGTCCACACCCTCATTAACCCCTGCATGCAGTGGTCTCTCTCTCTCTCTGAAATGTGTGGGTGTGGGTGTGGTTTTATGGTGTTGGTCGCAATTTGTAGTATTGGAGTGGGTTTATGGTGGTGATTAGTTAATGGGCGTTTGAGGAAAGCCGGTTTAGTGGGGTCCCGGTGGATTCGACTTTCACCTAGAGTATCGTGTATTGGGCTGTCTTATTATTTTCTTCTATAATTTCATATTTATAAGTTGATAATCAGAAGATGTTTAGAATACATTTAGGACCCCCCAAACAAATTCAAGGTACTCCAATCCCTATATGGTTTTGGTTCTTAGATGGAGTCTTTCCTGTTTTCCCACCACAATCATGAAAAAGCAAATAAAACTGTAAACTCCAAGAAACAAAAATGGTTGCAAAATCATAAAGAAAAATGGTGAAACAATTGTGACTTGTCAGTTAATACTGTAAAAAAGTTCTGCCCTGCTGATCTGGTCACAGATTTCCTATTGTTGCCTGCCTAAAACAAGAATGTTCAAAAAAAGTTTGAAAAAAAGCCAGTAAGTGATTAGAGCTGACTTCATAGGTGTACCAAAAGAAATGAAACGAAACATATGGCTGAGCTAGGGCAGTTATTGTATGAGGCCTACCAAATGCTACATTCCGTAATAAAATCAGTTGTTGTTGATACCTTCTCGGTTCCTGCTCCTGAAATCCGAGCTAGGAGAAGGAAGAGGTGAGAGATAACACCAAACTACTTTGAACGAAGAGAGGAAAGGACAACATCTTTGAGAGAGCTATCCCTTAGCATGGCTGCTTTAAACTCATCAAAGGTAACTTTTCCATCACTGTTGGCATCCATTCTGTCAAATATTTCATCCAATTTCCCTGGCTCTGTTATATCCATCGGAAGATACTCATCAGGCAAGGCCTGCACATTAAAATTAGCAGATACATGTCAGGAACAATTGAAAAACTTAAACCTGTGAAGTAACTTGTTTTGACAGGGAAAGATAAGTTACACTGAGCATGGATGCTACTTCCTCCTTACTGATGCAACCAGACCGGTCTGTATCGTACATCTGATGGCCAAACAAACAAAAAACAAAAATAAATTAGCACTTATTAATTTATTGAAAAAAAAAATCTTCATTCATTTTTAAGGTTGACTAAGTGCACTATCGGATTGGTTGTGATAGGGGACTGGTTGTGACCGGAATTTTCTAAAACTTTAAGCACAACAGATGACCAAAAGAAAGCCACAAAAGAACCCAGTATTGTAGGAGATTGCTTTAATATGTATTTCAACCACACTTTAAGCTAACCTTCATTGATTGCTAAATTCACAAGACATTTTCGTCTTCAAGTAATATCTAAAATACATCACCTCAACTCTAGTCGGGTTTAATCGGGTGCACGTGTGTGACCACAAAAGAAGGGAGACTGCACCTGGAAGCACATACGGAGTGCATCATCGCCTTGCGAATTCTTGAGGCTGGAGAAGCCACAGAGGATCTCTCTCATGTCAACAGTCCCATCCCGGTTGTTGTCAAACATATCGAAGATGCGGGATGCTAGAGGGATCAATGATGACATGTTCATGGCTTTGAGCACCTCCTCAAATTCAGATAGAGTAGCATTTTCTCCATCTGCACATCTGCACTTTGTCAAAAACTGATCTCCATCAGAATTCTTAGTGATCAAACAAACCAGGGCTCATGTGAGCATGAAGGACACATCAGATTAAACTTGGTCCCTTTTTTTGCTTCTTTTAGATAACTTGGTGTTTCAAAGCCATGAGCTCAAGCTCATAAAAATTTAGCCCATGTAATAATCAGTCCATTGCAACTTCTGGAGGAAGAATCACACTTTAACAGACTCAAAGATTGTCTCAAATTCAGTTGTCAAATGTCCCCAGTTATTAAATTTTTTTCACATTACCCCACCAACTACTTGAATTTATCTCACACAGCCCCAAAACAAAAAATACATAATATTTTGGATGGAACCGTCCATGTGTAATAAAATACATACATTTAATGCCCGCAAATTTAAACAAGTTACAAAAAAGTTGAGATCTCAATCCCAAACGACCTCATTTTATACTAATTTCATAAAATTGAGTAGTAACTTTACCTTATTTCCCAATATTATCTATACCATTCACCAAAAAGCAAGTTTAGGGTATCTTAGACCTACCCCCATAAATTAAAGGCATGTGGGTACTTACATTTTCTTGAAATGCATACTGAGATTCTCTAGCTCCTCTGGTTTAAGGTCATATCCACCAACTAAGTTCTTCAAATTCCTTGTCCTCGAAAAGAAGGCACTGCAACACAAGCTAGCTAATGCAGCAGCACGTAATTTGCTCCGTGCATTGAAGCTCTTCAATCGTGAGACAATCTCAGCATCTATTTGTTCTCCCTTTGCCGAATCTCCAATGACCCACGGATGTTGAAGAATCTATTTACAAAATGAAACATGTTAGGCTTTTAGATTACCTAAGCATTGTATTTGTCTTAATGAGTTTGGGCCATAAACGGTTTGACCAATCAAATCAACTTAGAAAGTGGATTGACACAATCCCCACTTGCAAACTCATTTATATATCAGTATATATTAATTTCTAATATTTTACATGATCCAAGGGATTTAGAAACCAAAAACGACCTGTCCTATTGACAATCTTAGATTAGGAGAGATGAAAGCTTCTTCTGTGATTTGGATGTTGAAAAATCTATTTGAAACTATGGAATTAGTTAAAACTTCACTTTGAATTGGTGAAGCATTTAAAATTTGGTCATATTTTGATCACAAAATGCGATGTTGAGCAAAAATGTTTTCACAAGGAAAACCCCCTGGGGGAAGGATTATAATTTTAACACTGGTCTCCAACATGAAATCGACTCGAAATTAGCATGAATGACTTTTGTGTAAAGTAAATCGACACGAACTCTACTGATCCTGCACGACTAAAAATGGATTGGGTATAGATTGAGCAAATTCTAACAAAACACAATTCACACGATTTAAAAACTTAACACAACAAGACCCATTACGGAGGGATTAAAGCTCTATTCCATGATTTTGAATTATAGTTTTTAGTTAGTTTTGATGCTCAAAGAACTAGAAGTACTTCTCACTTCTCTAGGACCATCTCCTGTTCCAATTGAAACCGTGTACAGAACAACTACTTAACTTGTTGACTTTCTTAGCTTAGATACATAATGATACATACAACTCTGTGATGAGTACTTGTGCCTACCTCTTCAGCACTTGGTCTTCTGTGAGGATCAACTGTCAGGAGACCGGAGATTAATTGCTTGGCTGAGTAAGAAATGTTTTTCCATGTTTTTTCATAGAAGCTGAAGTCTCCCTGCAAGAGAGGCATGTTCAATTTGCATTAAGCAGACAAATTTAATTGAATTGTAAAGAAACAGAGAACGACAGATCCACTGTATATTAACTGTACAAATAAGATGAACGTACAGCCATTATCATTTGTTGCTTTTGCCGATTTGACTGGGCGATGAATGGTGGGTACCTGAGATAACAGAAATTTATGAAAATCTCAAGATAAAAATAAGGGCAAAAAATTTAATATTCCGCTAAGTATGCAATTTTTGTCACTTTGGTCCAATAAAAAAAAAAAAAAAACTATGTTTATAGATTAAGGAACAAAAATGACATAATTGAAAAAAAGATTAAAAAAAAAGGAAATTGACACAAAATACTTACATGATGGACCCGTACTTTTTAAAATTTTAAAATAATAATTAGTGTGAACAATTTGGGATTGGAATTGCAATTGTAAGATTCCAAATATTTGTTTTTTCCTCCGAATATTTATGAAATAAGATTAAGTAGAAGAGCAATGAAAATAAAAAGAAAATTAAAGTAGCCTTGCAAGCATTCTGGTAGACAGGTTGGTGATTGTCAGAAACAAGAACTTCATTTATTGTCTGATGTGAGGCATCATAATGGCAAGAAAATTTTTTGTTGTTGAGTTTTATAGGTACCACATTTGGAAAGTGGCATCTGGGAAAAAATAAAAAACTAAAAGCATTTTTCTCCCACCTTTTTGATAGTATGACAACTTTTATCAACAGCATTGACAATTCCTTTTACTAAAGCATCCGGGAAAAAGTGGCGTGTTGCGATCTATGCTAACTTAACCATGTCTTCCTTTGGTGTATGAATAATCTAGATTCTTCTAGAGTATATTTCACTACACACTCATCTATTAGACACGTGATATTAAGAGTCAATTGTATAGGTTCAAAGTATATTCATGCATTATTGTGTAAGTTTGAAGTATTAGTCTAGAACAAGTATATAAATTGATAGTTCCATTGAATGTATTGTAGAAATTTATGTATGTAAATTGCCTATGTAAGGAGTCTCATGCTTCCATTTATAAACCATACTTCTTCGACAGCAATAGCTCTGCGCAATTCATTCTATCTAACAAAGTGGTATCAGGGTCACTGGTGTAATTCCAATAAAATCAAACATGTATCAAGTGAAAGTAGTTAATTACACCGAAAATCACCAGACCTAGAAACTGAATGCGTTGCTTCATATAAGACCGAGTGGTATAGGTATTGGTATCAGTCGCTCCAAGACTCCATAAATAAAGACTTCAAATCATATGCAGTTAAAGTGGCAAGGGTAGTCCACAAGATATATGATACTATCCAAGAAAAGTAGTTATCGTACCCGGAGAGGAGAATATACAAGATGACACCCAGTGACCACATATCACTTTTGGAAGAAATCCTTCCTTGAGAAAGAGCCTCAGGCGAGACATAATCAATGGAACCAAACAACCCCACAACAGGATCGGTGAACTCCTCCACAGAACTCAGTCCAAAGTCCATGATTTTCAATGGAGAATTCTCAGTTTTGTTCAGGAAAAGACAGTTCTCAGGCTTCAAGTCCCTGTGAACAATATTGGCCCGGTGAAGAGCACCAAGTCCACCAGCTATTTGCCGAACCACAGCTGCAGCCCCAGCTTCTGAGTACCTTGTTGACAGATATCCAGAAGTAAAGAAACAATAAAATTATTATAATAGTAAAATCGTTAGGCAAGACACATCCAGAACGCGATAAATATCTGATATTTATATAACATACCTCTCTTGAGCCACAATCCGATCAAAAAGCTCACCCCCAGAACAAAGCTCAAGGATTAAGTGAACCCCAGTTGGATCATCAAATACATCAAACAGTTGGATGACATAATCATTGGGACTAACCTCTTCAACTATTTTCCTCATAACCAGAATTTCATTAGTCAACAAAGCATCTGAAACTGAAACTTGTTTCCACATTGAAAAACCCATTGATTTTCTTGGATTTCCTGATTGATTTGATGGTCCAAATCTCTTCAGAGTCTTGATTGCTACATGGGTATTTCCCCCATTACTTGATTTTCTTATCCCTCTTCTCACAACTGAAAATCCTCCTCTACCCAGAACGTCTGAAACTTCATATTCATCTGTGAGTCTTCTAGCTTCCTGGCCCATGGCCATGGATTCCATGGAAGGTAGGGGAAGAAAGACCCAAGAGACACAGATTCAATGACAAGGAGGACAGACAGAGAGGTTTGATCAATGATAAGAGTGAGAAAGTTTGAAGCCACGGAGATTGACATCAGCATTTGAACAATTCTTGATTTGTTTATTAAGTAAAATATGAATTATTTGCAAGTGACAACGCAGGAATAAACTATATGGGTAAAGAGCTGATGAAGAAGAGACAAAAGGCCAGGTCAACAAAGCTTATTCAGTAGGTTTTTGTTGGCCTTTCTATGATATATTCTCTTGGTGTAATGCAGCATCAAACCTCACTCTGGTCTCCACCAAACTTGGCTGCAGGGGTGCAAGTGCCGATAATCACTCGGTTTTTTAAATGGGTCTAAAGAATTATGCCGAAATCGAGGAACTCGTTTATTCTCAAAACCGAACTTAAGTCGAGTAGCTCTATATGATACTCAGTTTTAGGGTCTGGAGTTTCGTGTCGTGTCGTATTATATCAAATTCATGTCGTGTTATTTTTAGTCATTTTATTTTAATGTCGTATTATTTTTGATACATATTGACTTCGTGTCAATATTTATGTTAATAAAAAATTAATTAATTTGACAATAACTAATATAAAAAATTATAAGATTTTTATTTTTTATCTATAATATTCGATAAATAATTATTTTTTATCTACAATATTTATTAAGTATTTATTAATTGTGTTATTCGTGTCGAATCTTAATTTGACTCATTTATTACTCGTCTTAACTAATTGTATTATTTTCAGGTTTGTATCAGATTCGGTTCGAATCAGGTTCGTGTTAACCAAAAAAATTGACACCCCTACTCAGTCCTAGCACCATCTTTGTGGATTTTAATTTGAGGGAAAATTACACTTACATGCCCTAAACTATGCCTCTCATTTCAACTTGGCACAAATCGAGGTAACAATAGAATTTTGCCTACTTAGAGAAGGAAAAATCACATCTCCTCTAACATTGTGAAATTTTATCCTTGCCCTGATATGTTATGATAAATTGGAAAGAAGTAAAAAGTTTGGGTAATGTGAAACTCAAAGCTGATAATTTAAGTACATATGATGAGAGAATAAAGTTTAGGGGGCAATATGAAAGGAGGGGCATAATTTAGGGATTATAAGTATAATTTTCTCTTAATTTGATGGGCAAACTATACATTGACCATTTAAAAAATCGATTTAGATTCTTTCTAATATAGTTTTTCTTCAATTATCTTTTTGGTGGATCATCCACCGTTGATGAATGATGAGGCTTGTATATAATGAGTCACTTAATCCTTTGGAGTGGGTCAGTAGTCCAGTTTGACATTTGATAATTCAGAGGTTTTGAATTTCATTTATTCTCGCACCCTTATTCTTTTAAGGACACGCTTTAACTCAACTCAAGCTACTGTGACTAGTCATGAGCTCGAGGAAATAATCAACATAAGCCTAGACACGCTTTAAAAAAAAATCTATAATATAAAATAGGACAAATTTTATCGTCATAAGTCTGAACACCCTATAAAAAAAATTTATAACATTAAACATGATAAACTTCAATAAACTAATTTAACGATTTCAAATAGACTCATCCAACGATCACGAACATTCCTCTTAAAATTTTATCATACCTTCTGGCACGGGTTACTTCTATTATATATAATGAATATGTTGTATATAATGAGTTCCACTTAAATGCATGATATATAGTCCACCAAAAAAACAATTGAAAAAAAAAAGTGTCGGAGAGAATCTCGCTTTGCAACTATGGCATGATTTGCCTTTATTCTCTCAAGTATTTACATTTTCAAACTTTCATTCTTAATATTGGTTTACATTAAGTTTTTGATTAAAGATGTCGGTGAAATAAAATCCCACATTTCAAAGTAAAGTTAGGCAACTTTGTATTCAATTTGCAATGAATATTTATCACTGAGAGAGTTCAAAAATTAATACCCATAGTTGAAAATGCAATGTGACTAGGGGTGTCCATAGATTGGGTTATCATGGTCTCGTTATTCGGCCCAAAGTCTGATTGATCCGATAGTTGGCCCGTCCGAACCTGAGCCAAATATTTAAAAAAAGGGCTTAGATTTGCCTCCAAATCCCGGCCCAAGAGCCTGCCCACAAGCCCCAGCCCACCTACCCTTCATTTGAAAAAAAAAGTTATAATTTTAGACAATTAAATTTAAAATTTTGAAATAAATCTCTCAATATCCAAATTTGAAGGTTTAAAAATTTAGATATTATAAATAATATATTATTTTCTTTTTTATGTATTAAACATATAAGTTTTAAATGGTAGAGTAATGAAAATGATAGATAAGTTAGTAGATGTCAACTTAATTGGAATTTATTCATTCAATTGGATGTAGTTTATTATTTTATTTTTATCCATTTTGACTTTACTTTTGATTCAAAAATATAATTTACACAAATATAAAATTACAAAAATATTCATTATTTTTAAATAAAGATGTATATAAAAATGCCCGCCCAGCAAGCCCCGCTCAATAGATTCACAGGTTGGCCTGCGGGTAGCCTACCTCTACCCAAAGCCCGGCCCGCTCAATAATTTACTTGGATAAGGGCTTGGGCCTACACCACCTAGGCCCAACCAGAAAAAAAATGTTGTGGGCCTAGCCTGGCTCGGCCCATGGACACCCCTAAATGTTAGAGGTCACCCGAGACATTTTGGGGCTTAAAACGAAAACGATAAATTAAATTTTTATATTTAAATTTTTGTTATCATATTTAAACTTAATGGTGAGAGAGAGAGAGAAAGAATGATTGAAAAAATCGTAAGTTTAAACTTGACTTTTTTTAGGGTTAAAATTAGATTTTTTAGTAGTTTTAGTTTTACATTTAGTTTTTTTTCTTTATTTTAAAAAATAAATTTTAGGGCCTTTTAATTTTACGGCTGAATTAATAGGTCTAATCTATTTAAGTTAAAATTTTTTATTTAGGCATGGATTTAAATTTTTTGTTTGAACTATTACTGTACACCTATAAGTTATAGGTCTTTCTTGATTTAAGGCCTAAATTTTTTTTTTTTATTAGACTTGTATTTTTATAAGGCCTTTTTGTAGGACTGAAAATATTTATCGATTTAATGTTTTTACATGGACCATTTATGATATTTAAAAATTTAGGGCCTTTAAGCCCAAACTTTTTTTATAACACTGTTAAGCCGCCCCCATGCAATGTTAAAAAACTATAGATGAGGTTGTTATGTTTTTATTTGAATTACAGTTGAATTAATCAACAATGGCAAAAAGAGTAGGGAAACAAGAAAACAATAATAAAATGATTCACAATTCTTATATGGTTGTTTAAAGTTAGTTGCTAGTATTGTTGTTGCATTGGCTAATCACTCAAAAGTGTACATTGAATTCATCTTTCTTCAGATGTGACCCTTTTTATGTTAGGCTGAGGGAACAACTACAGTTTGTGTAATCAAAGTTGTCGACAACGGTGGTTGGAAGTTTCCAATCGATATTTTTTTGGTTATAACCTCACCCTCTATGAGTTATAACTTTTGGTAAATTACTAAAAACCAATCTATATAATAAAATAATTTACGATTCAAATCTCAAAAGATAAACAAAATAATTTGTACTATTCGTGGTTGAGATCGTTTTAAATTTTACTTTAAAGTTAATCTAACGGCTAATTTTAACACCTATAAAAAAAAATAGGGTCTCTAAAGGTGTGTTTGGAGTGACTTTTTAAAAATACTTTTAGAAATTATTTCTCTTAAATACTTTTAAAAAAAAATAATATTTGAAACCGCCTCACCACTACCTCTACCACCACCTTCATCGCCACCACCACCGTCGTCGTCGCCGCCACTACTACCACCACCACCACAGTCATTACCTCCTATCACAACCATCACTGTCTCCTACTACCACCATTGCCGCCCACCACCTTTCACCCCCATTACAAACTAGTGTTTAAATTCTTTTATCTCTTCTCTAAGTTTGTGATTTAATTTTAAATATGAATACAGATATGTTTATTGTTTACTATTTTTTATTACTCTTTGTTTTCAGGCACAGACAATAATTAGTCATTCGATAAAAAATTTTCCAAAACCTGTGTTCATGAAATGTACCATTTTGAATCCCCACTCAATTCATTCGAATGCTACTTTCAGCAAGGACTTTTTAGATACCATTCTGAAAAATAAGTCTAAGCTATAAATCTTGATTTAATTATTTTGATTCATTAACCATGAAAATAATTAAATAAAGTTACATAATATAGTAAAATAACTTTGTGCTTACTATCCTTCTATTCCATAGCCTATTTTTTTTAGATCTAATTCATTGCAACCGTTGGATTAGCAATAAGTCTCAACGATGGATGAAATTCACTATCAATCTAATAGTTACAATGGATTAAATCAATAATTAGATTTGAATAACATTATTCTTTCAACCATACTGGAATCTAGATCTTCTCTATTATAATTTCACTTAATTCCACTTCATAGAATATCATCAAACGTGTATGAATGAGAGGTGGGGTTCACATATAAATAATGAGTCACGTGAGTACATGATGAGTGATCTACCATTAACGAAGAGTATCTCAAAATCCAATTTGATTCACACTCTGAATTCACAAAATCCATCTTTCTTATTATGGCCTTATTTGAATTACACTTGAATCAATCAATACAAATAAAGGGGATAGAGAAAGAAGAAAAAAAAAAACAAAAACAAAATGACCCAGACAGTGGAAATAAAAAAATCCTCAGCATGGAGCTAACAAAAAACATTGCCCTCACAGACCCGGTTTGTAACTTATCCCTGTCATTGGGATCCATTTGTTCCCATTGATGAAAGATTTGACAGTAAACGTACTAGCTTGTTTACTAGTAATGTTTCTCAATCCCTTCCATTTAACCCTATTTTTCGTCGAAGAACCCAACCCGAAATTCTGGAATTCAGCATAAAATATGGTGTCGGGTGCTGTCGTCCCGACCCACGGTAACCACCCTTTTGGATCAATCAAGCTACCCATCATCGTGTTGATGTACACGGTGGTGGAGTGGTTCTTCCACGGCCGGCCAAGGAAGGTTTGGACAGAGGATAGGTTTTCTGAAGGCCCAATTGTGCAGTTCTGAATAGAGATACCTGTTGAAATACTTATATCAAATGTAGGAATTTCAATCATCAAATGTAATACAAAAGGAAATATTAACATGAGAATGTAAATTAACACCATATACATGATAGCATAACATTTGATTTTTTGAAGAATATATACATAACATGTAAAAACTTTCCTAAGTTTTAATTGATGTCACTATTCGATGATTCAATTCAAATGCTCACAACGAGTTGATATTTAAGAGGCATGTATAAACTCTGTTAAAATACTTCTGTCTCCGTTAAGTGATGATTTTAATGAATATTAGGGATTCCAAAATTCAAAAGGTAACACCGAAAAAAGGAAATAGGGAGATTGTGGTTTTTGTTGTTCTCATGAAGTGATGATCAGTCGCTTGGCGAATGAATTGGGTCAACCTCTATTTTAGCTAATTCAGATACTCACAACAACGCATTCTCTGGGTTCACGCAAACTAGGAGGAAGGAGTAAACATGACTCTAATCGAAAAAATTGGAAAGTACACTTTAAAAACTATACAAAATACTGGTAAGATAGATACCTTTTAAGTTGTTTTGCCAGATTTTATAGGCCTATAAGTATTTATACCTATTAGAATAGGTGGCTCATATTTAACATATGGAGAGGTATATCAAGTTCAAATATAATGGGCCAATTGTCAAAGCGCAGCGAAGTGCCTTCTGGATTTGTCCTAATTAGGGTTGTAACTTATATAAATCAAGTTGTAATCATATTTTAGTATGAAATAAAAAAAAGGCAGTCGCTCTTTCGTGGACGTAGACAAATTGTCGAATCACGTAAAATTCTTGTATTCATATTCTAATTTTTCTGTTTCTTTGATTGTTCATTGGACACAATCACAATAATACCATTATATAGAAGACTAGAAGTTTGGAGTCATGAAAAGCATAACCATCTAGTCATAAATAAAATTCAAGTGATGGTCCATCAAAATTAGAATAATGAAAATTCATTCCAATGTAGCCATACCAGTGTTTTGATTAGGATCGATCTTGCCTTGAGCTGTAATGGTGTTTTGTTGGCCAGGAATGGGGACTTTAGGGAGAATGTTACAGTTTTGGAAGACAACGGCCGAGTTTCCGAAAATAAAATCAACTGTTCCATAGATGTTGCATTCACTATAGAACTGCCGGTTAGAAAGAGTGTAGAGAGTGTCTTGGAAAGCGTCCACGCGACACCGGTAGAACACCGACAGGTCGGAAGTTGACATCAAGGCAACAGCCTGCTGCTTGATTGCACCAGCAATGTTAAGAAATCCCATGTCACGAGCGATAAATCCTTGACCAAACACAGCTGAATTGGAAGAAACAGAAACGAACACAAATGAAAAACCTTACCTTAATGTTAGGCTTCACCTTATGAAGATTTATGCTGAAAAAAAAATTATTCATGGAATTTATGAGATTTCATGTTCTAATATTAATGAACTATCACTAATCCTGTGCCTGGAGACACTACCCAATATCAAAAATCGAACAATGACCATGCAACATATATATTATAAATACCAATTTACCAAGGAAAATAATTTTGGTGGCCAATACTTTTCTCCTTGAGCTTGCTATTACAGAAGTTGTCGCGATCATTGTCATCGGGCAAAAGTTCACTAATAAAATTTTACGTTTTATGTACAAAATTTTGGTTTGGTAAAAATTGTATGTCTTTAGACATAAAATTTGACTTAATGGCGTGATAGGTTTCGTGGTATCACTGAAACTGTAATTAACTCATGTTTAGGTACAAAATATGTAACTCTTTGTTGAATATAGCAAAGTGGCATGAAGATATTTACCAAATGTTGCAGTTGAAAATGTTGGAGTTCCATCCACAAAGTTTAGGCTGCCAGAAACAACAGTTGCATTCATTCCATCCCCAATCACCATGACATTCCACTTGGTTTTCTCAACCCTAACATTCTCATTATATACCCCCTTCTTCACGTAGATCACAAATCTCTTTGTGCTCGTATCGGGAGCCGCCTTCATGGCGTCACCAATCGTCGTATACTTCCCGGAACCATCCTTAGCCACCACAACATCGGCCTTGATTGTCGAATTTGTACTCTGAAGCAGCTTCCGATCTCTCAGAGATAACCAATTTGGCATTTCGCTTCCCCCAGTATGCTTACGGTTCAAAACTGCTAACGTTTTGATAAACAGTCGTTTGGGCCTGGTCACTACGTCCTCGTGGAGGTACCCCTTCTCCCGCAGAGGTAAACTCAGCAATCGTCGTTCCTTCAAAGAAGATGCAATATTCAAAAAAGTGTTTAAGAGGGCGAGGNGCCACCACAACATCGGCCTTGATTGTCGAATTTGTACTCTGAAGCAGCTTCCGATCTATCGGAGATAACCAATTTGGCATTTCGCTTCCCCCAGTATGCTTACGGTTCAAAACTGCTAACGTTTTGATAAACAGTTGTTTGGGCCTGGTCACTACGTCCTCCACGAGGTACCCCTTCTCCCGAAGAGGTAAACTCAGCAATCGTCGTTCCTTCAAAGAAGATGCAATATTCAAAAAAGTGTTTAAGAGGGCGAGGCTGTTGCTAGTGAACTCAGTGGAGTTTTTGAGGTTCTGGAAAACACTGATTTTTAGTGCATTTGTTGTGTTATCGAAGCCATCTATGCATGTTTGTTGGAAAGTGCCTGCGGCGCTTAGCCAAGTTTCGAGATCATCCACAGCATCAAGCAATGAGGCATTGTCAGTAGCCAAGGAAATATTAAGATGATCCAGAGCAAGTCCCAAAAGTTCTCGACAACTTTCGAGAGCTGCAATGGCCATTTTATCGGTGATTTCTTTGTATCCTTCGTTTTCTGAGAAGTACTGGGCGACTCTCAATAGTTCATTTCTTGCTACTTGGACCGATAATTTGTAGATCTCTTCGGGCTGAACCTGGCTAGAATTAACCAGAGGGGCGAGGCTAGTGTAACACGAACCAGGGTATAAGGTCGTGTCACACGCCGCTTTAATTGAAGCGGAGATGAGGGAAGGTTCGCTTCTGGAACTGCCCTCTTTGGCCTGAGAAGTTCCAACTACGGCGGCCACTATAACACCAATAAGAATGATTGAAGATAAAGCCATTATGACGATTCTCTTTCGGGTCTTTTGACGAGATTTGAGTCTCTGTTGATCAGATTCGTCGAGTTTTCCATAGGATTTGAGAGAAGCCATGTTTGACACTGAGTTTTCTTGTGTTTAAGGTAGTGAAAATGAGGATGTTTAAATAGGAAGACGTGTATGCATGAAGAGATTTTTTAAGAGAAACTTGGCTTTACGTGCGAGGCACTACCTTTAGGACGTGAAGACGTTATTCAAAGTCGAAGTGCCTCTCGTGTTACTGTTTAATTAGATTGCCCATAAGGTCAACTGATAATAACCACACTACCTCGGGGTTAGCCGGTCGGATTCGGATCAAATTTCAAAATTTAGATTAAGATTTTTTTTATGTGAGTAATGGGGTGCCCGTGAAAGTTTGTGGTTTAAAACGACAATTAAAAAAAAAAGACTTTTATTTTTCAAAATAATATTTTATTTAAAATTTATTTTTCTCGCCTTTTGAAATGTCCGTTGTCCAAGTTTAAAATGATAATACTAATAAAGAATTATAGACTTTATAAATTTTGTGGTATGTAAAAAAAACATATAAATAAACAAAGGCAGACATCCAAAATAAATAAATAAAAAAAAATAAAGACAAAGGCAGATGAGTTGCCCATTGTTAGTTAGGGAGAGAAAGAGTGGACGAGAGAGACGGGATGAGTAAATGGGAGAAAATGTTGAAAAGTTTATTTTTTACCATTTTTTCTTTTTGTTTTTTTAATGGTTTTTTGGTGTCATGGAATGGATAAATAGGCTGAAACTATTCAATTTAAATCTAGGGTGCTCTGGAGGCGAGCCTTTTTTTGTAAATTTATTTGAACTTAAGTACACTCAAAAAACTTGTTTGAGGATAAGTCTATTTTAATCTCCTTTGTCCAAAATACCCTCAATAGTTATACTTAGTCAAAACTTGTTTGTAAAAACTAATAACTCCAAAATTGAGAATTGCATTAGTATTACTAATTCCTAACTTGAGAATTGTGTTAGGATTAAAATAATTTTTTTATCATATATATATATAACATTAAACAGTAACATACTAAAAAAAAATAATAACATCAAACAATAACATGCTCATTAAATTGTGCGTTACTAGCACAACGCAACCCAACTGGCCTTAAACTAGCACAACCCAAAAGTAATACAGGACACTAGGAACATATATGTCCACATACATACATACATACCAAGAAGTCTCATCTCATGTACGTGATTTCCATTTCATTCCTAAAGAGGGTTTCACCCTAAAAATTGAACCAAAATGAGATTTATGTAGGTGTGTCTTATAAATGATTTCATCTCTCTTGATGTTGTCTTCATGTGTGACAAATTTCAGTGCTTGTTCCCTCCACATATGTCTCTTTGGTTCCTACAAGAGCAAGTTAGCATGTGCATTGACATGTTAGATTAACATATTTTTATCAATTATAGAAAATGATTTAGTTTGGGATGACATATCTCTATCACGCAAGTTATACTGCTATCTCGAACTTAACACAAAAAATGAAATATCATGTAAATGAATACTGTGATATCTTTATCGGGAAATATGGACCCAGCTGCTGCACTTGAATCATCAATATGACATACATTTTGCAATCAAATCCATTAGGCAGTACAAGCCCTCAACTTGGTGGAATGATAGGCCATTTATATATTTTTTGGAACTCGGGGGTCAACTCAAGAATTAGAAGATGTAGTACCTTCACTAATTCAATTAAAACAATACAGTGAGATGACAAATACTGGGGTTACACTTCCCTAATTTATTTGGTTGCATAAACTTTACTGTTTTATTTGTCTGCCAATTCACATCCCTTTTCTTATGTTATTAGGAAAAGGATCGAGAAGCATTACCTGTTTATTTTCTACGTCTGCTACGCATAAGTATCAATGAGTGCCTCCATCATTTATTGATAGATATATCTAGTAGGGTTATATACTAAAAACTTACTTTTTATAGTGAAACTCGTTTTATTAATTAATAGAAGTTTGGTTTTTCTATTTTATTAAAAATCAATATGGACAAAATATTTATATTATATTTGATATATGGTATGCATATGTGTCTTATATTTTACATTATAAATAAACTAGTGTATAGAGTTCGACTTATGCACATAAGGTCAGATTATTGGATCCTTGTATAATATGAATATATGTTCACAATTTTAGATGGAATTGGACACACCATCAGTATGATTGTAGTTTAATATTCTGGCATACTCTGTCTTGACTATAGGAAACTGTTTGATATCTCGGATTATTACACTAATAAACTTTGTGTATTGAACAGACCCATATTGAGATTATTATCTTTTATTGATTGAATAAGATAATAAATACCTCATGATTATTATGATTGTTTATACTCTTAATCTCGAGATATTTAATTGCTTCGTACATATAATGATTGTCACTTTTAATTCATCAAAGTGTAAAATTCATATTGAGTCCATAAGCTCAGTGAATTGGGAGACGATATTATTTGTATGATAAAAATTAATTATTAAAAAAAATCACGTCCTAATATTTAAATGGGTTGATGATGTTCTCTTGAGAAAGTTCAGAAGTTTTGTCTATGTCAAACTCTGCAAGTGGATTTAATTATCCGATATGACAAATAAGTTGAGTGATAAGCTCTTAAAGAATAAAAAAAAAATCAATTGAATATAATTATCAGTAATTTATTTAATTGATGGACATTTGTAATTTTAAATATGGTGAGATTATTAAACATATAATAATAAGGAGCTCAAAACATAATTTTGAGATAAGGCTCAGGAAATCAATAATAAGTTTTTAGTGGACTAACTTATTATTAATAGACTATAGGATATTTGTTTTAGGTTGAACATGGGAATCTTAAACTCATTGAAAGTCCGGTCCTTATTTCTCCTTAGGGTTTTTGTCGTAGTCTATATATAGACGTTTAAGCTCTCTAAATCAGCATCACCTTGATTACTCATGTTTTGAGGGAGAGTAAAAGTTCGGAGGTTCTTGCCGCCCACATTGCATCTGGATTTTGGCGTGGGGGGATATACGTCAGAAGATCGTGAGATTCATCAAACTGTTTTTGCGTCTGTCTTTAGATTTTGTATCCGTGCTGAGACGAGATCAATCCAGAGCAATCTTGAAGGTAAACCCTAGTTCTTCTTTGTAGGGTTTTAAAGGAATTTTTTTTGTGTATTTGACACATACGTGCTGTCAATGATTATTGAAATTTCTGCNTAGCACAACGCAACCCAACTGGCCTTAAACTAGCACAACCCAAAAGTAATACAGGACACTAGGAACATATATGTCCACATACATACATACCAAGAAGTCTCATCTCATGTACGTGATTTCCATTTCATTCCTAAAGAGGGTTTCACACTAAAAATTGAACCAAAATGAGATTTATGTAGGTGTGTCTTATAAATGATTTCATCTCTCTTGATGTTGTCTTCATGTGTGACAAATTTCAGTGCTTGTTCCCTCCACATATGTCTCTTTGGTTCCTACAAGAGCAAGTTAGCATGTGCATTGACATGTTAGATTAACATATTTTTATCAATTATAGAAAATGATTTAGTTTGGGATGACATATCTCTATCACGCAAGTTATACTGCTATCTCGAACTTAACACAAAAAATGAAATATCATGTAAATGAATACTGTGATATCTTTATCGGGAAATATGGACCCAGCTGCTGCACTTGAATCATCAATATGACATACATTTTGCAATCAAATCCATTAGGCAGTACAAGCCCTCAACTTGGGGGAATGATAGGCCATTTATATATTTTTTGGAACTCGGGGGTCAACTCAAGAATTAGAAGATGTAGTACCTTCACTAATTCAATTAAAACAATACAGTGAGATGACAAATACTGGGGTTACACTTCCCTAATTTATTTGGTTGCATAAACTTTACTGTTTTATTTGTCTGCCAATTCACATCCCTTTTCTTATGTTATTAGGAAAAGGATCAAGAAGCATTACCTGTTTATTTTCTACGTCTGCTACGCATAAGTACCAATGAGTGCCTCCATCATTTATTGATAGATATATCTAGTAGGGTTATATACTAAAAACTTACTTTTTATAGTGAAACTCGTTTTATTAATTAATAGAAGTTTGGTTTTTCTATTTTATTAAAAATCAATATGGACAAAATATTTATATTATATTTGATATATGGTATGCATATGTGTCTTATATTTTACATTATAAATAAACTAGTGTATAGAGTTCGACTTATGCACATAAGGTCAGATTATTGGATCCTTGTATAATATGAATATATGTTCACAATTTTAGATGGAATTGGACACACCATCAGTATGATTGTAGTTTAATATTCTGGCATACTCTGTCTTGACTATAGGAAACTGTTTGATATCTCGGATTATTACACTAATAAACTTTGTGTATTGAACAGACCCATATTGAGATTATTATCTTTTATTGATTGAATAAGATAATAAATACCTCATGATTATTATGATTGCTTATACTCTTAATCTCGAGATATTTAATTGCCTCGTACATATAATGACTGTCACTTTTAATTCATCAAAGTGTAAAATTCATATTGGGTCCATAAGCTTAGTGAATTGGGAGACGATATTATTTGTATGATAAAAATTAATTATTAAAGAAAATCACGTCCTAATATTTAAATGGGTTGATGATGTTCTCTTGAGGAAGCTCAGAAGTTTTGTCTATGTCAAACTCTGCAAGTGGATTTAATTATCCGATATGAAAAATAAGTTGAGTGATAAGCTCTTAAAGAATAAAAAAAAAATCAATTGAATATAATTATTAGTAATTTATTTAATTGATGGACATTTGTAATCTTAAATATGGGGAGATTATTAAACATATAATAATAAGGAGCTCAAAACATAATTTTGAGATAAANTGTTACAAATGATGATCTAAAAGTATGACAAGAACTACATGCCGGTTTCAAGAAGATGGGTTTGTTCGAGAGAAGGGTGTCGTCTGCAAAGAATGCGGAACATGTTGAACTATAAAGAGAACCAGAAGGCTTAACAAAGGTTGGATGCCTTGCAACATT